TTTAAACTCAAGACCCATTAACCCATCGACTAAACCCAAGAAAAAATCTAGTCACATCTCATCAACAAAATTTTATCTTTGTAGAACTTCATATCTCATTGTCAAAAAAAATAAAAAATTATATTATAGTTTACTAATGCTTTTGTATTTCAATTTTTTTTTTACAAAGTCAATATATACAAAAGATGTTCTTTGCACAATAATCATGAAATAAATTTTAGGATTTTCAAAAAATCGAAAACCGATTCAATCTAAACCGAAAAAAATTGGATTGAATCGGATCGGATTTGAAAAAAATCCAAACAAAAAATGGATGATTATATGATCAAACCGAAGGGATTAGATCAGATGATTTGTGCTTGCAAAACTGATCCAATTCAGACCGCGAACACCCCTACTTGTGACGGTTTTTTTTTTTTTAAATGAGTAAGATTATTAATCCATGTTTTTATCATAAGGAGAAACCCGTGATGTCGTTCTTAGGCTTTTTTTTAAGGAATAGAAATTTATTTAAAAGCTTTTTTGGAGTAAAACTCTTTAAAAAGTTAAAAAAAAAAAAAAAAAAAAAACTTACACTAAACTTTAATTTGGGCAATATACACAAGTCTTTAAATTGGCCAACAAAGTCCTCATTTCAAAATAATTTACTTCACAAGTCTGTTACTCTATAAAATCAAGAATGAATTCATTATTTTTAAAAAAATTATTATTACCTCTTGATATCTCTATTTAAGTGAATTAATATAGTAAGAAAGTATTTATATTTCTAAATAAAGTATTCAACAACTTTTACTTAAATAAATCGATTTGTTAATAAGCGTGGAAAGCTTTTTAAATTACTGAAGATTTCTTTAGCTATATAGATGTTTTTAAGGAAAAATATTGATTAACATAACTTATTTAATCAAAAGGCCAAATTAAATCCAACGCAAATCAATCCGTAAGCAGTAAGCACCATTAAAATGGCTTACGCAAATCAATCGATACGCGGGATATGCCGCATGTACTATTTTCATCCTTACACATAATAGATATTTGTCAATGTAAATTAAAATTTTAATAAAATAGCATGATTTCATGCAAATCACTCAAATTTCTCAGTTCTCACCATTAAACTAAGAAAAAAATACTTGTCATTTTTAATAAAATTATGTCATTTTGATAAATTTTTACATTCTCTCTCATCTATTTACTTTTTATTTTTAATTTTATAAATTAGAAAAAATGATAAAACACACTAAAATGACGTAGTTTCATTAAAAATAACACAAAATTATGTTATATAAAATAACAAATACTAAACCCTTAAAGGCTTAAACCAATCCTAATGGCTTTTAACAAGTGCAATGATAAAATAACTTGTTATTTCATTATTCATGTTGTTATCATATTTATTATTTTGTATCCTGCCCGCTGTTATTGTTCAAAAGATTGTTGACACTCTCCGAGAATATTAAAAATTACATTACCTTAAAAATAAGTAATTAGAAGTGAAATAGTAACGAGAAGTGTGTGTAATTCACGATTGTTTCACAAGTTTAATTTAAGCTTTCTTGTCACTATTATTAAAAATGAAAAAACAGAAGAACATTAGCTAAAAGATATTCCGTCACTGGTAGATACTTTAAAATAAATAAGATCAAACATGAAAAGTAATAGTTGAAGAATGTTATGATATTGGTCGTCATTAAAAACAGTGCTAAGCATGACAGAGATAAAAAGTAAGTGGTGTAAGTTGTAGCCCAGACCCAGTGTACGTGAATCACAGGTCCAAAAGAACCATCATCATGTTAATGGCCACAACATTCACACCATTCTATTTTCAGAATTCAATGGCACCTCTCATCCCTACTGCTCGCGTGCACGTAAAGATAACTGTAGAAAAAGGTACTCTTTTTATCTTTATTGCGTCTTATTAGGAAAAGGACAATTTCTGTTTGTTAGGCATAATTCTTCAATTTCGCCAAAATGGAAAAAAATAGCTGGTAAGTTGTTTAATCATATTTGTGTAGTTTTTTTTTTTGGTGAGGATTTTTGTGTAGTTTATTACTAACCAATAAGGAACATGTGAAGCGTGCCCCTCTTCTCTATTCATCGTCTATGTTGCACCGACACCAACACAAAACACGAGATACGATACAATACTCTAACACGTTAATTTAAAAAATATTAAATTTTGACATGTTATGACAAGTTTTGATAGTATATAATATTTTTAATGAGATAGGATCATTTGACACCGGTGTCAAATTTGACACCTCATCTGAGAGTCGTTAGATAAAAAAAGATCAACGATTATGATTTGTAAGCATGTGACACCATTGATCTATTTTTATCTAACGACTCTCAGATGAGGTGTCAAAGTATCCTACCTCATTTTTAATTTATGAAGTGTATATTATATTTAATATTTAATAGTTTAACAAAAAAATAAAGCTAAATTTGTAATATCCATCAATTTTGCAAAGAAACATAATATTTTCCAAATATTTATATTAAACTCAATAAAATTGTAATCTAACAACACTAATGGAATTCAAAATACAACATAACGTAACCTTTGAACTTTTTTTGAGTCTTTGCAACAAATATTGAAGTGTTGAGAATTGTCGGAGTGTCGGAAAGTATCTGTGCTTGATAGCCTCGAATTGAAGTTATACATTTGTAGAATTCATCATGTCATGAAATTTTTAATTTTATACGTAAAAAAAAAAAACATATTCCTAACTATTTGGTGATGAACTATGTCATAATTAACAAAATATGGAAAATAATTGCATACATTTTTTGTATATTAATATTTTGTATTATTTTTATTTTAAATTCACCATTTCTTTTCGTGATGAACTTGACCCGACATCTTACGTAAATGCAAATACATATTTAGAAATATACTATGATTCGTTTAACTGAAAAATCAAATGCCGTAACTTTAAAATGAGACGTTTATTTTTTTAAAAACCTTTTTATATATTAAAAAAGAGAGAGCATTCAGACGCAAAAATATATGAGGTGGTTAACTTTCAGATCATGACAAGATACTATATTTGTACAAATGTGCTTTGGCAATGCCATTAATAAACCATATTTTAATGATCTCTGCAAGAATGAAACAAAATTATAAACGTACTAGTTTAATTTCGCCTTGAAATAAGCTTTACCACCTAATCACACTTCGCTTCTGTTTGATGAACTTCTAATTATTATTATTATCCATTAATTATTTGAAATAAGCATTATATCACCGAGTCACAAATAAATCTTACGAATAAATTTTTTTTGGTGCTACTGTTACATCAAGATTAAGTACATCCCACTAATAGAAATATTACATGTTAACTAAATTTTTTTTTCTACTAAATTTTTTCTCTTCTATAATATGTAATGCTCCTATTGATGGAATGCATTGAATCTTGATGCAATAGTAACAGTAAAAATTTATTCCACACCTAGATGATGAGTGTTTGGTGAATTTTTTTCCCCACCTCTAATTAAGCGGGTATTTGATGAATTTGGTAAAATGAGAAGTCAGTTTTCATTTCAGAAAATGTAAATGACATCACGTTCTTTTACATCGACTCTGGCCTCTGAGCATACAGGTTATAGGCAGAGTAGTGTAAAAGCATTTAAAACTCTGATAACTGATCCTTTTTCTGTAGCTATTCCTGCCTTCACTAATTTTACTTTTTTTACGTTTTTTTTTTTATGAAAAATATATTTCTCACGTTTCATAAGGTAAATTGTCTTGTTCAACATAAAAAAGTAGATAAAACTCACTTTTTTTATTTTATTTTATTTTTATTTAACGTGTTTTATCCAATTTTTTTGTATCTTGCATGATATAAATATAATACGAGAAAAATCAAACTTTTTTTTTTATATATGTCAAGTGCTTGATTTTGGGCTACCAATCGTTCATCTCATTCTCCCATGACAACAATAATTGGAGGGTACCAAAAAAAATGAGCAAAAAAAATCTCTAATTATTAATTTTGTACTATAAGTCTACAACACAATATGACAAAAAGAATCATAATTTTTTCAATTATAGGCAATGTACAAGACAAATTAGATATTTTCTAACTTACCTAAACAAAACCCAGATTGAACCAAAGTAGAATAGGAATAGAAAAAGCCAATGAAAAAAAATAAATGAGGTAGTCAAAGTTCTTGTGCTTAATTAATGAAGGGTCGAAGCGACAGGTTCGTGGGCATGCGAAGACCATGTGAGCCAGTTGCATACAGTTTTAAGAAAACCCATCAAGATCATCCTCGCTTGAAATTTGTTGCCATTTAATAGGAATACCTCTTTTTTTATGTTTTAGAAATGAGTGTGAATTACATAATTAAAAAGTGGGAAAAAAGTTAATCTTTTTTAAAATATATAACTTTGTGTCATTTTAGATTTAAATTATTGATTTCTGTCCATTAACAGTAATAATTTATTGAGTTAAATTTGTTAATTAATTAGTAATTCGAATAAATTATAATCATTGATTGACAAAAATCAACAACTAAAATATAAAATAACACAAAGTCATGTACTTTAAAAGAACAACTTTTTTTTCTTAAAAAATACTTTATTTGGATATAGAATTATTTTATTCAAATTTCTACCTAACTTCAACTAGACGTGACCAAATGACACCTTTACAAATGCTATTTTTCTTCCTCCACAGTGTTTATATCAACATTCTCTGGATATAAGATAAACCAAAATTAGTAGCTATACAAAATAGGGTCAAAAGAGTATTTTGAATGAAAAATTGGTTTCTAGCTATGAAGCGACTTGTTTATGACACTCATAACTCCCCTATCCCTCTTACCCTCTCTCTCTCCCTCTCTCTCTCCTATTTAATCCTTCCCGGAGGGTTCATACGCCTAACTTCCTATCACTCTCATAGACAACTAGCAAGAGTCTTTATTTTTCTCTTAAACTACTTTCTTTTGTCATATTCTCTATAGCTTCTTCATTTCACCATTAAGGTCACCACAAAGTCATGGAGCAAAGACAGATCTTTGTTCATGCGGTGATTTTCTTGTTTATGGTCTTACTTAGAGCAAGTTATTATGGCACAGTTAAAGCAGAAGAAGGAAGAGAAGAAGCTGATAGGATTTTGGAACTCCCAGGGCAACCAAAGGTGTCGTTTCAGCAGTTCTCTGGCTATGTTACTGTCAATAAGGTTGATGGTAGAGCACTCTTTTACTGGCTCACTGAAGCTTCCCAAAACCCTCTCACCAAACCCCTTGTCATTTGGCTCAATGGAGGTTAGAACTTAGAAACTTAAAACCAACCAACACCTCTCTCTCTCTCTCTCTCTTTAACATTTTGTTAGTGTGTTAAGTGAGAGCAATTAGCATGCAAATTCTATATTCTTGAAAATTTGAGTGGTATATATATATATATATATTATATACACATATCATAAAGTCACTGTTATATCGCATATTGAATATTAGTGGTGTGATTTTTCCTCATTTGGTATTTTAAGCCTTAAGCTCTTTCTTAGTATTCCTCCCCGAAGCTAATTTATAAACGGTGCAAAATACAACTACCAACTACTTTCCTGCCGACATATACTAGTCAACAACATGGATAAAACCTCATTCTGACCCTTTTTAATGTTGTTCCGTTAATCCTTAATGAGACGGTTTTCATTTCATTATCTTATGCATAACACTTGATTTGATTTGAAGCATGAATGAAAACATTTATTCTTTTATGTGCTGCTTACCTTTTATTACCTTTCAAATGTTAACTCATTTGGTTTATTTGTTCCTATTGCAAATATTTTGTTCTTGTAGAATGTTCTGTTTGTTTTTTTTTTTTCTTTCACGTTTTTAATAAAATTAAGATATCTTTCTTACAATGTGTCATTACATTTAATTGAGGGAAGAAGATGAAAAATCATATTGCCTGTAAAAATGCATCAAATTTTTGTACCGTGAGAAAAACAAAAAAAAAAGTGTACGTAGAGCCCACATGAGGGGTAAGGCAATGGATAGCTTGGAATGATGACCTAACTAACGAATGAATAGTACAAAGCAACATTCACATTCAAACACACAAGGCCACAATGAACGTGCTAGTCTCTGTCTCTCTCTGTCTTCTCTATCGCACATACTCGCACGCATACACACGCATGGCACTTAATGCTTGAAAGCAACTAAAAACTAGCCACATTAATGATTAATCGGCCTCAGAGCCATTATCTAAGGTTCTGTTACGCAACTTGTCAGCTAGTATTGGTGCACCATCAATGCAACCCTATATTTGCCAGTATAGCTATACCCTTCCCTTGCTAAAATACATACTTGACTAAGCATTTAATTCAACTACATTTAGACTAATTACTTAAAATCTTTTCTGCATGTAAACACCTAAAAATAACCCTTCTTTTTTAAAAGAAATTTAACTTATTACAGAAAAAGAGTATAACATGTAATAAAAACATAATAATTGAAAAACTATTGTCTAACCAAGCTTTGTTTATTATTTATTCCTTACCTTTTTTTTTTTTGTTATATTCAATTTATTTTTTATTTTGAATCCATATGTTTTATAGGTCCAGGTTGTTCATCAGTGGCATATGGAGCATCCGAAGAGATTGGGCCATTTAGAATAAATAAAACAGCTTCTGGGCTATACATTAACAAGTTCTCATGGAACACAGTGACCAATCTCTTATTCTTGGAAGCTCCGGCCGGAGTTGGCTTCTCCTACACCAACCGCTCCTCCGACCTCCTTGACACTGGCGACCGCCGCACTGGTAGGACCCACCACCCTTCCATCCACATTAATTCCCACCACCATATAAGGTTCATATATCTTACAAAGTAGGAAACAGTGATTTTTTTTTGGTAGGCCATAGAAAATGATAAGATGAGCTTGTTATGATTGGCGGAAAAATGAGCAGATGAATGGACTAGGTTCAGCAAATTAATTACTTATAACATTATTATTATTCTGGGTTGATAGATTTGTCTCAAACATAATTGTCAATGGATAATGATGGACCATTTTTGGTGGGCCACGTTCATCACATAATAATGTATGTATTGACCTTCCACGTACCTTTTTAAACTAGCCACATTGTACTTTGTTTTTTCTTAAAATTATATACATATATTTAATTACAATTTGGTTGGATGTTGGAACCCTTTGTTTTTTTTTTGCATAAATGCATACGTAATTACTTTTGTAACTACAAATGAATTGTATATTTGTATGCTTAATTATGTGTTCAATGTTCAGCCGAAGACTCTCTGGAATTTGTAATCCAATGGCTAGAACGATTCCCACGTTATAAGAATCGGGAAATTTATATCACTGGAGAGAGCTATGCAGGCCATTATGTCCCTCAATTAGCTAGGCAAATCTTGACCTATAACTCAAAAACCAAGTACCCCATTAATCTCAAAGGAATAATGGTAAATACTCAACTTTATTTTTGCTTTTATCGTAAAGGGTAAGATAATGTAATAAAATTTTGATGTTCAAGTTTTATTAATATTAAATGCAGGTTGGAAATGCAGTCACAGACAACTATTATGATAACTTGGGCACAGTGACTTATTGGTGGAGCCATGCAATGATCTCCGACCAGACTTACCGGCAACTCATTAACACTTGTGATTTTCACCGGCAGAAGGAATCCGATGAGTGTGAGTCTCTATATAGCTACGCCATGGATCAAGAATTTGGCAACATTGATCAATACAACATCTATGCACCTCCATGCAACAATTCAGATGGCAGCTCCGCCACGCGCCACACTATTCGGTTACCTCACCGTCCCCATACGGTATCTAACAAAAGTGCTAGAGATATATAAAAATCATTAATAATCAATGTAGCCTTACTCAGTAGCTTAAATTTTTATGTTAAATTGATTCTTTACATGGTATCAGAGCCGTGTCACGGATTTGATTCTCACCGCCCCCAATTTAATTAATAATTACTTATGTCTTGTGGTGGAGTTTCTTAACACAAGTAGGTGGGCCTATGCATTATCCACCTTTCAAGCTCAGTGTGCTCTCGTGTGAGGAGACATGTTAGAGATCTATAAAAACCACTAATGTAGCCTCACTCAATAATTTAAACTTTTGGGTTGAATTCGTTCTTTTCAAAAAGTTTAATATAAAGTTTAATTTTCATGTACTGCTATCTACTATTGTAAATTTTTTTATAATTAATTATGTGATGTCACATTCTTATATATATGTGTATGAAAAGTAATCTTATTAGTATGTGTCGTTGAAAATTTATTTATTCTCAGGCTTTCAGAAAATGGTCTGGTTATGATCCATGTACGGAAAAGTATGCAGAGATTTACTACAATAGGCCAGATGTTCAGAAAGCACTCCATGCTAACACAACCGGCATTTCTTATAAGTGGACTGCTTGCAGGTTGAATCCCAAGTTTTAATTGCAAAATAAATTATCAAAGATTCGGAGTGTGATCATGTACAAAGGATTAGTTGATAATTAATTACGTTTCTTTCATTTGATGCAGTGAGATTTTGAATCGAAACTGGAATGATACAGATGTATCTGTTCTTCCAATTTATAGAGAGTTGATAGCTCATGGAACAAGAGTTTGGGTGTTCAGGTTAAGAAAAATGGAATTGGTTAGCTAGCCAGATATTATTTTAGTTAAGTACTATGATTAATTGCTCATGCCTTTTAATATTGTGTTTGACACTTGTGCTAATGCAGTGGGGATGTGGACTCAGTGGTGCCGGTTACAGCTACTAGATATGCCCTTGCACAGCTTAAGTTGGCAACTAAAATACCATGGTATCCTTGGTATGTCAAAAATCAAGTGAGTGCAATTGAAAATTGTTCTTCCTCTCACATATGCATTTATTGGGGATTGCCATGTATTCATTGTCTTATGTTGTTTTATTGTTATTAGCAACATCTAGGATTTTAACAAAAGAGCTACTCTGAATCTCCAATATTGGGACCTTTTTGACACATAATTAAGAAACTTCATTGGAATGGACATTGGATATTAATTATGATATATTTAAGAATACATCATTATGGACATTTGGGTTGTACATACTGAGGGAATTGTGGTTTCTGTGAAGGTTGGAGGTTGGACAGAGGTGTATGAAGGGTTAACATTTGCCACGGTGAGAGGAGCAGGCCATGAAGTCCCACTATTCAAGCCCAGAGCAGCTCTTCAGTTATTCAAATCATTTCTTGCAGGAAAGCCTCTCCCTAAATCCTAAAAAGGAAAACAAGAAGGGGGGGAAAAAGAAAGAAAGAGGGGAAACCAGTGAAAAATCCCATTAGGTGGTAGTTTCTATTACATTGCTATTGTTATGAACAATTAGTTTATGCCATTTTTCGTTGTCAACAAATTAACAATAGGGGTTGGTGGAAAGAGCAAGAGTCTATTCTAAATTTTGAGCTTGATTTTGTTCGGATATTTATGTTTGTCACTTGGTAAAATGGGCAAAATGAGCTAAAATATGAAGGGAAAACAGGTTTGCTTCCATGAATAAATGGTTCTGAATTAACGTTTGAGCTAATCCGGTTGGGGGTCGAGAGCAGTTAAAAATTCTTTCTCTTAAAGAGATGCGCTTCTCGGGTCTCCAACTTGCATTCTTCACCTTACGCTGTTACCACTCGGCCAACACTTTGTTGGTGAATAGTTATTGCTGTTATTTTTATTTAGGGCTTTATTAATCTTATATTGTAAGAGAGTAGTTCTCTTCTATTATAGACACAATCATGAGTGTGGTCTACTCTCCAACAAAAAGAGCTACTCTCCAACAACATCAACATGAGAGTAGTTTTTTCTTTTTATTTAACACGAAAACAGAGGTTGATTTGGATATTTTTTTTTTGTTTGTTACAGATTTGGATATTTTTTGTCGTGGGGCTAAATGTTTATTTTTGACTTATCTTCTATAAACACCTTGTTATAAATCCTATATTGGTTGCCTATACCATTAATATGATATTTATAAGATCTTAAACCCTCTCACCTTTTATTTAGGGCTTTATTAATCTCATATTGTAATAGAGTAGTTCTCTTCTATTATAGACACAATCATGGGTGTGGTCTACTCTCCAACAAAAAGAGCTACTCTCCAACAACATCAACATGAGAGTAGTTTTTTCTTTTTATTTAACACGAAAACAGAGGTTGATTTGGATATTTTTTTTTTGTTTGTTACAGATTTGGATATTTTTTGCCGTGGGGCTAAATGTTTATTTTTGACTTATCTTCTATAAACACCTTGTTATAAATCCTATATTGGTTGCCTATACCATTAATATGAGATTTATAAGATCTATAAACACCTGTGATTCAAATACTGTAACACAACTTACTAGAGGAGACTCAATTTTCATTAACTAACCAAAGAGTGAGAAAACTCCAACACGGTCGTGACCAAAAGTCGTTGCTCTAGATAGGATTGTGAGTTATATCAATAGTTATGAATCATTTTAAAAAGAAGTGAGGTGGAAAAGTGATTTATGCACGGCATATTGGTGTACCTTATGTGAGGGGAATCACATTGCTATAATGAAAAAAGTGGTCATTGGAAGAGGATTTGTAATGTGAATATTTTGTTCATCAATGAGAGTAAGGAATAAGCATGTTAGAAACAGAACAAAATATAAAGATGATTCCTTGCCAATAGAGGCTCGGCTAATAAGAGTTGGGACAATTTGTTTGCAAGATTTAGGTTTAATTCTCTATATATGCCAACAAACCTCTTTGATGTAATTAAATAGGAGTAATATCTTTTGAAGTTGGTATAGGATAGTACCTTATGTGGTATAGTATTATTTTAGAAAAGATTTAAAATTTTAATCCTAATTGTCTCCGTACAAAAAAAAAAAAAAATCTTTATATTTTGTTTTCAACTTGGTAGATTTACCGTTGTCCCGTTTTGCTTTAAGATAAAGTGCGACACAGCAACGCCAACACCACAATGTCTGTCCTTTTGTAATTTTAGGATCTCAAACCACATCTTCTCGTAAATTCCTGACAAAAGCTTTTTCTTTTTACTTCCGTATTTCCTCTGACACAGAATCAGGCGATTATGAAACAGTGTCGATCAAAGAAAAGTAGAGAAGGAAATTATTACGAAAAAGAATCCGAGAAAACACCAGATGACAAGATTTTGTGAATCATGATTAGTATTTGAAAAAAAAAAAATCATGGTATCTTCTTTCTTGTGTATTTATTCATTATTAAATTTGTGCCGTCAAAATTGATTCAAAATCACTATACTGTTACACCGTTGTTAGCGCTAAAACACTACCAAATTCTCTTGCATGATTAATAATACACGTTGTTTTTTCTTATAATTAAAAAAATGGTTATATTTAGGGTTTTACATTAAATATGACCGGTTGTACATCAATTAAGAATGTATGATCGATCATATTTAATATAATTTGTAAAAAAAAATTATAAATAGATACTTACTCAATTAAAGATGTTATCCAAATCTGGAAAAAAAATGTACGTACTAATCTAACCAAAAAGAGCCTGCAATGACGGAAGAAAAACTCCCTCCAAATGATTTTTGACAAGCAAAGAAAAAGAAAAGGGTCCAAGAAGTCAAAAGCAAAACAGTGGAGGAAGAAAATCATGCATAAGCTTAGTGAATTAATTTAGCTATATTAAGTTAATAAAATAAGTATTGTTAATATACTTGTGAATATAATATTTATTTAATGAAAACTAATAATGATTTAATGTTTTATTAATTTAGTACATATCAATTCAATATCTTAGGTATATGTAAAAAATTTATAAGATAAAACTCTTTTAAAATAAATTTACTTTTAGAATAAGTAAGCAATAATGCTCTAAACGAAATTTCTATTGTAATGTGCTTATCTAAGAAAAATGGTTATCTTCATCAAATATGAGTTTCAAAGGCATGCGTATGATAGTTAAAATTTTCATTTGAATTTGTATTTTTATAAAAAAATTTAATCAAAAAATTTTTATCAAAATTTTAAACCTTTTACATTTTTATGATTTTTTTTACTTGAGATTTTACGTTTTACAATTTTTTAAATAAAATTCCAATTTTAATTACAATGGGCATGTATATTCATGTACATGAAATAAAATAAAGAGAACTCCAACTCCAACCTAACTAGAGGAAAATAAAAAATAAAGAGATCAAAGTCAAGAAAGACCAAACAGAACAAGGACCAGTACAAATTTTTTCAATTTTTTTAAGGAAAGTCTCTAACAAGTTGCAGCTAGAAAACGAGGGTGAGATTGGTCATAGAAATCGCAGCCACACCATCATTTTTTTTATTTTTTTTTATATATTTTGTCTAAATTGTTCTGTTTTTAAAGCTCAAAAAAGGTTGCTCTTTTCTTTCTTCACTTTCTCCATTTCATTTCACAACACAATAACAACTGCGTCTCAGTTCAAAAAAGTCAAAATACACCGTACAGTGCTTTTTGGTGCTTCTGCTGTCCTTGCAGATCTTGCTGAAGATTCAAGGCTTCTTCTGTTTCTTCTTCACTGAGAGTTTTCTTGGCTGTTCAACAAAGTCAAAAGCCTGATTTCCAGGAGGAAGAGGTAAACTTTTATGTGTTCCCTCTTCTTGCTATTATACTCTTATTATTGTTCCTAGTTCATATGGGGGTTGCAATTTGTGTACTTGGTCACTCTCTAATGGGTTTTGTTGTGCATCTATGATAATAATGTTTCTTTTTTTCTTTTTCTTTTTTTGGGAATTTATGCAGGCATAAGAAGTCTCTGTTCTTACTATGCACTTTTGGTTTTGAAATTATTGGTGAGTCCTGCTCAATTTGTTCTGGTAATTCGTAGTTGTGGGTGGGTGTGTAAATTATTGAAGAGCTGTGGTGAAGGATTCTAGAGAAGGAAGTGTTATCTGGGTTCAATCTTGAATTTGGATTTGAAAAGGTTTGAGCTTGTTTTGGTGATTGTTCTTTCTGAAGTCTGGTGCTTCTCTATGGCTGTGGAGGAGTCTGAGCCTGGGATACCGGAGCTAGAGAGGGAGGAGAACTTAATTGCTGCAGCAAGGCATATTGTGAAGGCATTAGGGTCAAATAATAACCTTACTAGTGATGCCAAGAAAATTCTGGCTGATCTTGGCACCCAGTTGTCCTCCATGAACATGACCAGTGAGAGGGAGGAGGGGAAGCAAGTGCAAGGGGAGGATAATGTTGATGAGGATGATGATGGTGAGGAGGAGGAGGAGGAGGGTGCTAGTGCTATTGAAAATCGACTTGGTGTGATTCAGGAGAAAATAATGAGATGGGAGGAAGATCAGTCCATGATTTGGGATTTGGGAACTGAAGAAGCATCTGAATATCTGAATGCAGCTAATGAAGCCCGTCGATTGATAGAGAAGTTGGAGAGTTTGCATTTGAATAAAGAGGACCAAGAGTATAAGTTCATGCAGAGGGCTTATAGTGTTCTTCAAACAGCAATGGCACGGCTTGAAGAAGAATTCAGGAACTTGCTTATCCAGAACAGGCAACCTTTTGAACCTGAATACGTGTCTTTTCGATCCAGTGAGGAAGATGCTGTTGATGAGAGCTCTATAGTCTCTTTAGGTGATGAATCAGTTGAGGAATCACTTCAAAGAGATAGTGTCAGCAGAGCCTCTGAGGAGCATATCATTGATTTAGTTCATCCAGCTGTGATACCAGATCTTAGGTGTATTGCAAACTTGCTGTTTGCTTCTAATTATGTCCAGGAATGTTCCCATGCTTATACCATTGTCCGGAGAGATGCCTTAGATGAGTGCCTCTTCATTCTTGAAATGGAAAGGCTCAGTATTGAGGATGTCTTGAAAATGGAGTGGGTTACTTTGAATTCAAAAATCAAAAGATGGATTTGGGCTGTGAAAATCTTTGTTAGGGTGTATCTTGCAAGTGAGAGGTGGCTTAGTGACCAGATTTTTGGGGAGGGTGAGCCTGTTAGTCTAGCTTGTTTTGTTGATGCATCTAAGGCTTCAATATTGCAGCTTCTGAATTTTGGTGAAGCCATGTCCATTGGCCCCCACCAGCCTGAGAAATTGATTCGAATTCTTGACATGTATGAGGTTCTATCAGACCTTATGCCAGATATCAATGCTTTGTATTCCGATGAGGTTGGTTCATCTGTTAAAATTGAATGTCATGAGGTTCTGAAGAGATTAGGCGATTGTGTGAGGGCTACATTTCTTGAATTTGAAAATGCCATTGCATCAAATGCATCATCAAACCCTTTTGTAGGTGGTGGGGTACATCCTTTGACCAGATATGTTATGAATTATCTTAGGACTCTTACTGACTACAGCGAAACACTTAATCTGCTTCTGAAGGACCAAGAAGAGGATGCCATCTCGCTGTCACCTGACATGAGCCCCGATACAGAAGAAGATAGCAGAAGCCAAGGATCTCCAAGTAGAGTTTCCTCAATGACCCTCCACTTCCGATCAGTTGCTTCAATCTTGGAATGCAACCTTGAGGAGAAGTCCAAGTTATACAAAGAAGCTTCTTTGCAGCACTTGTTCTTAATGAACAACCTACATTATATGGCTGAAAAGGTTAAGGGGTGTGAGCTTAGACTCATATATGGAGATGAATGGATTCGAAAGCGCAACTGGAAGTTTCAGCAGCATGCAATGAAATATGAGAGAGCTAGTTGGAGTTCCATTCTCAACTTGCTTAGGGATGAGGGAATTCATGTTCCAGGTACAAATTCTATCTCAAGAAGTCTTCTTAGGGAGAGGTTACGAAGCTTCTACCTTGGCTTTGAAGATGTCTACAGAATCCAGACAGCTTGGATTATCCCAGATGTTCAACTTCGTGACGATTTGCGGATTTCTTTATCTGTCAAAGTAATCCAAGCTTATAGGACATTTGTTGGAAGGAATAATTGTCACATAAGTGACAAACTCATTAAATACACAGCTGATGATTTGGAAAACTACCTTTTGGATTTCTTTGAGGGATCTCAAAAGTGGTTGCAAAATCCTAGGAGGTGATAGATAGGCAAGAATAATCCTCTTCTCTAACAGAGGCTTGTATGTGGTCACAAACAGGTTAGGGTCCATGCCAAAACCTTGTTCCACTTAGTGTGCATTATATGTAATGATTGGAAGAGTTTCAGATTTATGCTGATTTTTTTGCAATGTCTTCTTTAGATTACTTAAATTTGAATTAAAATAGAAGTAATGCGATATTCTGTTTCCTTTCTCTCCCAAATGTTTGTATCCAAAACATGCAGTAAATCTAAAAAGATTGAGATAATTACGGGCCTTAATGAAAACAAGGGTTCTAACTTGCCGAGGACTTCAAGTTTTAGACTATATTGGTCGTGCATGAGACCATAAATTAAGTCAAATAACGGCTAAGCGTTTGACTTGAATGAATTGTCCTCAAAGAAATCTTTATAAGTCAAAATCTAGAAATAGTAGTTTTGAAATGGCTTTTGATAAGGCAAGAAAATATTTTAACTTTGACCTGTAGTTAGATGAAATTGTCTGGAAATGAGAGATTTGAAGTCCACTTGAGATTTTCATGTCAGATGCATTCATCAAACGGCTGCAAAAAAAAAATAAAAAAAAATAGTGTTCAATCAATTAGGATCTGTTGGACCATCATTTTCAAGTCCAATAGCAAATTAGTGAATGGCCCCTTAGTCAGAGTGGAATTCTGTCAACTGAAAGGAACACTTCCTTGAGCAACTTGAAATCTTTTGATGGTCCTAGAGCACATGTCCAATTGTCAGAATTGTTGGTCAATATTTTTAATGGGAAATTGAATTTGGACCTCTTTTTGTCATGCCATGTGAGTTATGCAGATAAGATGACCCACCAAAAAGGGTTAAATTAATGGACTGGTACGGGGCATTCACCAAGGCGTTACCTCAAATTACAACTATTCTTTCTTCTTTCCAGGAAAATGTTTGAAAGGAGAAAGGGGTTTGAATGAAAATGAACAAATGGAAATTGTTTAAGATAACTCATTGGCTGGCTTTGCATATTGACATGTTATTGTCTGTATATGTTATGTCATTGCTAAGTGGTAATGAGTAATGTTTGAATAATGAAATATCCCCATTCTTTGACCCAAAAAAATTATGCCACGTTCCCTTTTTGTTAATATATATTATGTAGATATAGAATATTTGAATTCGTGAACTTTGACCCAAATTAATTTCAATGCTTCGAGAAATTCTTACTAGTTAGTACAATTCCAACCATGGTTCATTACCCAAACAACTTATGTTTGTGGATGAAATTTTGAACATTCATGGAAAGTTAATTTATGCTACCAATTAACAGCATGTATATAATCCATTTGAAAAGTCTTAAATCGTATTTTGAGTAAAAACTTGTTCCTTACGACTTTTGTTCGAAATTAATTATGATTTTGAGATTATAGCTGGGAAACCAAATACGTTATCAGCATATTTTTCGTTTTTAGGTGTAAAAAAATATATGTAAATATACTAAAGTTATATAATCAATTAGAATAATACTGTGCTCATTTAATAGATAATAATTAGATATGAAGATTGAAGTCGTGCTTAAACATCTCATTAACAGAATACGAAGTGTTAAAACGGATGTAGATCTTTTTACATTTTTGAAAGATATTGTAACAATCAATTAGGATTATTATCAATGTTATTATCAATGTTATTACCAATCAATTTCACCGTTAGATCGATTATGTTGATCCAACAGTTATATTTATTTCCATATTTGTATGATTATGATTCTCCATATTTAATATTAAAGCATTAAATATGAGAAATTATAATCATACAAAAGTGAAAATAAAAATAAAATATAAAATATGAGAAATCATAACTATACAAAAATAAAAATAAATATAACCATTTTCACAATAATATGAGAAATCATAAACAAAGGTGAAAATAAATATAAAGTATTAAATATGAGGAATCATAACCATACAAAAATGAAAATAAATATAATCGTTGGATCAACATAATCGATCTAACGGTGAAATTGATTGATAATAGCATTGGTCCTAACGCTAATTGATTACCCCTTTGAAACAAAACTAAAGAAAGTGCAGTTTATGATTCTATCATTCGATTTAGTAAATTGTATTTTTTGAAAAATTAATTATATGATAAAGCACATTTAATTAACAGAACCTCATTCAATGATAAAATAATTAGAGATGATTTGATCCAACTTTAACGGACAAAGAATCGAAGTAAATGACAAGAAAAATATATGGTTTTTGAATGCAATTAAGTATTCTAGTTGTCCAATCCAGTGTGTTTAGGGGACAAGAGATACTTGTACATTGAATCTTCAACTATTTTATTTTTATAGGGTTTGGAAGCAGTCAACAAATTAAAGTCAACCTTCGTTGGATCACTTTCTCAAGCACTGCTTTCGTTATTTTTACCGCTAATGCAGCAATTAATTGTCGTTCAAGGGTTGTGGACATTTATATTCGCGTCACTGATTAGGTCAGGCCTTGTCATAACTACACGGATTTGAGTCTCAATCAATCTCAATATCATCGAAACTATATACCTATACCAAATTTCCAACTACCATAATTGCCTGGTCTTGCTTTGGGCTGGTATAAATAAATCAATTTTAGCAGCATTTATAGATGTTAGGGGGGCAAAAATACTAATGTTACAGTTATGGATTGATTCAAAGAAACTTCAACATCTATAATACTAAAATATTTTATTCATATTATGAATTTGATGTGTCCATGTCAAAAATGATGTATCGCTTTTCTAGAAGTATTTATCGGTGGGGATTGAAATTGGGATAAAATTATTTTAAAGTAAATTTTTAAAAAAAATAAGAGTTAATGAATTATGATTATGACATAATTTAAATTAACTTCAAATTATATTCTCTTTTTTTAATAATTTTGTATTTAAAATTGAGGGTGGCATTAAGGTACAACCCAATTGTACATGAAAAGGATTGATAAAGCTATTCTTTTTACTACCATTCTATCTATAATCTAGATTAATATTGTCAAAATTGAATTTCTACGTAGAAACGGAAGGGGATGGTAGAAACGTAAATTATAAAAATGACACGAAACATAAAATTTTTATTACTTAAGGTCAAGATACAAAATTATATTTGTATGTATATATCAAATATTAGATAAGTTACTACTCAAAATTCAATGAACAACTTCATATTTAAAAAATATAAATCACATAACTATATAAGATATAAGTTCAACAACATCAAAAAAGAGTTTAACAACTCCTACAAACAAATTCCAAAATATCAAAAAATAAAGTTTGGTAACTTCTAAATTATATCAATTAATTCAAATCAAACATATCATTTTGCATGTCCTCAATGTTCTTTTCTCTTGCTCCTATAACTAGTCATTTGCAATAAAACATAATAGATTTAGGGAAAGTCTATAGTTACTATCTCTTTTTCTTACTACCTCTTACTACCAAATCTTAATCATTGATTTTCGTCAATCTAACGGATATAATTTATTAGAAATCAATAATTAATTAATAAGTATGACCCAATAAATTACAACCGTTAGATTGACAAAAATCAACGGTTAAGATTTAGTAGTAAGGAAAAGAGGTAGTAACTATAACTTTCCTCATAGATTTATTCAGAATCCACCTCAGCTTGGTACTTCAACTTTTCACCAATGGCTTCACCCTCTTCTTTTTCTGCAATTGCGACCTCACGCGAGAGTCTTTTTTTTTTCAAATAGTTAGAAGAAGATATTATGTTTTTTGATTTGGGGGAAGTGGAAATAGTTTTTTTTTTTAAATAAAATTGGGTCATGGGTTAAAAGTCGACCTGACTCTTTTTTTTTTTTGTACCAGACTCGATTCAGTTTTTTGATTTAAGTAAAAATGTAGAAACTTACGTTTTTAACGTTTTTACATTTTTGCAAGGAGTTTTTAATGAGGAGAGTTTTGACTTGCGTTTTAACACGTATCATTTCAGTAAAAACGTAAATTTTTACGTTTCTATACTAGTTTTTGACAACAATGGTCTAGATCAAAATTAGACAACTACATATTAGTTTGTTGAAGTTTTTTATGTTGTGTAAACGTGTGTCCTTTTGGTTGCATTTTAAAACAAATCATATGCTATTCCAGTCAATTAGAAAATGTACATCACCAGCCAACCAAACTGGGCCAGTGAAGGCCCATGAGAACTCATTGATGTTGCTGGGGCAAGAGATCTTGTTGCTGAAAAATACCTACCAACACAAGACTTCAGTGAATGGGAAAACTTGAACTTGTGATAGGAAAACATTCATTTGAGACTGGGACTCAAACGCACACTGGGCCCGAACATGTTTAACTTCTATGTACTATTAACCAAACTCATTAAAAGACCATTTTTCATCTAACACGAATATTAACTTTGACTTATGGCATTCCACTTTTCAGTAGAAGTCAACATAGTAGAACTACACTCACTAACAAAGTTATGAATTTAGACATTACGAAGTTCACAAAGGATAAATTCCGATACCCAAGGCTTTCCAACTTATTAGAGAAAATATTAATTCAAAAAAAAAAAAAAAAACGTTGTGACATATCAAAGTTATAATTTCAAAGATGGGAAAAACTATTCTTATACTACATGTGATAATTTTCTCTCCTACATAGCCTTCGATAATTGTGCCACATTTTTCTTTTATTTTCTTTTTATTTTTCAGGTGGTGGAGCCAACAAATTTATCTCTATGACATGAGATAACTTATCTCCTTTAACATGAGATTAATAAAGCCCTTCAAAAAAACATGATTAAAGTCTACATGAAAAGTAATGGTGCCGCAAATAAGGAGTTAGGGTCGATAATCACCCCCTTAAACTCATATATATTTTTAATAGTAATTAGTAAGCATTATTTTTGTTTTTCAATCATATAGATAATGATTACCAATTCTATTTTTATATATATATATATATATATATATAAAGGATGAACTAATAGTATCTTTTCCATTAATGTATAGATAATTATATAGATAATCACCCCCTTGAACTCATAAATTTTTAACTGTAAGCATTATTCTTGTTTTCCACCCATATAGATAATTATATGATAAGGATGAACTAATAAGGGTTCGAACTCACATTTTAACCCGAAACTTTAAGACATTATTGAGTTTATAAGTTCTTTCTCTTATACGTACAATGCTTAGCCCAT